TGATGGACAGAAAGGACCCAAATTACAGCTAGTCATTCCTGCTTGCCTACAAAAAGACTTCCTCGCACATGCACATGACAACCCATTAAGTGGGCACCTTGGTAGGCTCAAGACTCTACTGAGGTTAGTAGATACAGGTGCATCTCAATAAATTAGAATGTCGTGGAAAAGTTCATTTATTTCAGTAATTCAACTCAAATTGTGAAACTCGTGTATTAAATAAATTCAATGCACACAGACTGAAGTAGTTTAAGTCTTTGGTTCTTTTAATTGTGATGATTTTGGCTCACATTTAACAAAAACCCACCAATTCACTATCTCAACAAATTAGAATGTGGTGACATGCCAATCAGCTAATCAACTCAAAACACCTGCAAAGGTTTCCTGAGCCTTCAAAATGGTCTCTCAGTTTGGTTCACTAGGCTACACAATCATGGGGAAGACTGCTGATCTGACAGTTGTCCAGAAGACAATCATTGACACCCTTCACAAGGAGGGTAAACCACAAACATTCATTGCCAAAGAAGCTGGCTGTTAACAGAGTGCTGTATCCAAGCATGTTAACAGAAAGTTGAGTGGAAGGAAAAGTGTGGAAGAAAAAGATGCACAATCAACCGAGAGAACCTGCAGCCTCATGAGGATTGTCAAGCAAAATCGATTCAAGAATTTGAGTAAACTTCACAAGGAATGGACTGAGGCTGGGGTCAAGGCATCAAGAGTCACCACACACAGACGTGTCAAGGAATGTGGCTACAGTTGTCGTATTCCTCTTGTTAAGCCACTCCTGAACCACAGACAACGTCAGAGGCGTCTTACCTGGGCTAAGGAGAAGAAGAACTGGACTGTTGCCCAAGTCCTCTTTTCAGATGAAACCAAGGTCCTAGAGTCTGGAGGAACGGTGGAGAAGCTCATAGCCCGCCGAATTGAGGCAATAATTAAAGCAAAATGAGCCCCTACCAAGTATTGAGTACATGTACAGTAAATGAACATACTTTCCAGAAGGCCAACAATTCACTAAAAAAATTATGTTTTATGAAGTATTCTAATGTTGAGATAGTGAATTGGTGGGTTTTTGTTAAATGTGAGCCAAAATCATCACAATTAAAAGAACCAAAGACTTAAACTACTTCAGTCTGTGTGCATTGAATTTATTTAATACACAAGTTTCACAATTTGAGTTGAATTACTGAAATAAATGTACTTTTCCATGACATTCTAATTTATTGAGATGCACCTGTATTTGTTATTGGCCCACACTGCGCTCTGACATCTGGAAGTATTGCAAAGAATGTCAGGTCTGTCAACAACACAAACCTTCAATGTTCAAATTAGCCAGCCATATGCAGTCAACCCCAGTGGTAGAACCAGGACATATGCTAGGGATCGACCTCATGGGATTATTGCCTAATAGTTCTAAATTAAATGAGCACCTCCTTGTTGTCGTAGACTATTGTTCAAAATAGGTGCTGCGTATGGCTAAAGCACCTCAAATTGCTCGCATTTTGATAGAGGAGATCTTTACTAGGTGGCGAACTCCAATGTATTTGGTGTCTGATCGAGGAACTCAATTTACTTCCCAGCTACTCAGTCTAGTGTGCAAGCAATGGCGTGTCATCCAGAAGTTGACTACTACAGCACATCCCCAGACTAACCTCACGGAAAGGGTCAACCGTACTCTTAAGACCATGATCTCGTCCTACATTCAAGACCACCATCGGCACTGGGACAGATGTTTGGCAGAGTTTCGTTTTGCCATAAACACAGCTTGGCAGGTAAGCATGGGATTTACTCCAGCTAAAGTCACACTAGTTAGGAAATTGAAAGGACCTCTAGAAAGAGCCATACATAGACCTCATGACCCAGACAGTCCAGCGTACCCAGTGTTAGAAAGACAGAAAGAGCTGATAAGAACTGTCCAAAGAAACATGGAACAAGCTCAGACAAAGCAAAGACAGTACTATGACCTCCGGAGAAGGCCTGCTCATTACAAAGTTGGGGATTTGGTTTGGGTTCGCACTCATCCTTTGTCACGTGCTAGCGATGGATTCACATGACGTGGAAAGGTCCTGCTAGGATTGTCAAATGTCTTGGCCCTGTTAATTGTTCTCTGTCATTTATAGATGATCCGGATCATGTTGATACCTTTCATGTACAAAATTTGAAGCCTTTCTATGGGACTGTTGATAATGTTTCCAAATGAGGGGGGAGATATGTAACAGTCACATCTTGTTACATGGTTTAATGTATTTCATTTTAGTGCTTTGTTCATCCTGACCACTAGGGGACACCAATAGCATATCCCCATTTTGAATAAAAGAGGAAGTAGTAGAATGAGAGGCAGATTCAGTTTGTGTCACCTCATGGCATCTGCTGTTTCTCTAGAGGGTCCTGGTTTGAGAAACATTTGTTTTGCTGTTCAAACATGAGTTTGTTGCTTTATTTTTCATCTTTTGTTATTGTGTAGAATTTGAGAGGGTTATTGTTTGGGGAAAGTCGCTTATTCAAATGTTTTGTGGGTTGTGTGTGTTTGGTGAGTTTGACAATTAATGAGTTGTTTTGTAAGTAGAGGATTTTGTTTAACCTGCAAACTTATGCTACCGTGTGGAGTGCAGAACTTTGGAGTTTGGGTGCATTATTGCAACTGCCCAATGACTTTTTTCAAAGGACTACTGGCCTACCCCAACAACGACATCTATTTAATTTGGTCATTTCATCATTTCATCAATCTACCCTTCAATAGATAAGACTTTATAACATTGGCTGTTCTCTTTTACCAAATGGTTTCTTCTCTCAACATCTTTGGTGGACATTTCCTACTTATAAAACCACACTTTTATTTTGGACATTGACCATATCTATAGTGAACATTTTATGTGACAGGATTTTGTGTGTTTTGTATTTGTGTAGAGACTCAATATAAATGCTGGCAAAAGATTTCTGATGCTATTTCTTTCTTGTGTATTTTGACCTGACTCTTAATACTATCCAATAGGTTATTGCAAGACTGATTCCCCCTCATCTTCTTATAACAATACCGGTTTAAATAGCTGGAACGTTTATAACTGTAACTCTATAGCACTATATAATCTCTTCTCAAGTACCAACAGTGCCTTGAATTTTGTGATTCATACACACTTTAAATCTTTTGGCCAGCTGCAGGAGAAAAAAAACATATCCATCCCAACAGAACAAAGAACCATCCAGCCACATTTTTATATTATTACAACATTACAAAGCAATTTATTTTGCATATTCCTTGTGTTATCCAAATATGGGTCATCCTGAGATAAAACTGCTGAGGGACCGGGATGTCCTGTGATAAGCACTCAATCTATCGCAAACAAAAGGAGGAACTGCTTGCATGCACTGCTCTGTCCTACTTCCATATCTTAATGTTGAGGGCCAAAGCCTGTTGCCTAAAGCCAGGTAAACTTCTTATGATAATGAATGTATTACTGAACCAGCCTCGGGGTGATCATTAATTTACCTGTCAAAATTGCATTTTTTGCTCTTTGAAAGAAAATGCTATTGTTGCAGTTCTCACCAGACTTCCCCCTAAAAGTAGAGGTCGACAGATAATGGATTTTGCCGATACCGATAGCTAGGTTGGACCACACTGGCCGATACCGATTAATTAACCGATAGTTTTTAAAATGGATACTGAACAAAAACTAAAATAATGCTTTATTAAAAAAACAGTACTGATCCATACTAGTAGTAGTAGTAATAATAATAAAAATGTTCAAATTAACACTCTCTAACAAGGAACAATACTTTCATTACACAGCTTTCATTAATCTTAATGTTACAAATGGACTCTTATTTTAAAGTGTTACCATTTCATTTCAACAGTCATGCTTAAAGATGCACATCTTTAAATATATACACAAAGGCCATAGCATTAAAATTATATACATATGGATATTGTATGTTTACTCTCACGCTTTAACTTCTTCTATTCTTGAACACTTGATGATTATCTAATCAAAATAAAAGCACAGCGCTGAGTCTAGGAGAACTCACTGGTATCACACACACTCCGGATGCGTCGCGTTCAATTCGAGCAGTGGTCTAAAACAGTTTATTTAATCACCAAACGGACACAAGTTTACTTCACGAATGAACGAACAATGAGGCATAGATGAAAGATAAAGCGAGATCTATATTATAGCTCTATAAATGAAGCATTAACAACAATTCGGGACAAATATAATGTAATTTAATGGAAAACTATGTGAATGGCCCTCTGTGGCGTGGCAGGATTTTCTGTCGGCTGCATTTAAATCCGCGTCTGAAGTTTCCCGCTCTGTTCAGCGTGCAGTATCACGCGTCTAAACAAATAGCACGTGCTGTCAGTGATTTCAACCACTAGAGGCCGCTCTCGTACTGTATAATGACAGCAGACCCTTCTCAGCCATTCCAGCAACGGACGCAACCCGGAAAACTATCGGCATGGATTATTGCCGATAACTGATAGTTCCAGCAAAAAACTATCGGTGCCGATTAATCGGCAAAACCGATACATCGGTCGACCTCTACCTAAAAGTAATGCACATGATTACACATTTATATTTTACTTTCCGCAGGATCTCACGCACCCCAGTGGCATCCTGTGAAAAGGCTCCCCTTATTTCCCACTGAGGGGGAAGTATACTGTAAACAGCCTCGAGATGTGGCAGACACTCATGTAAGGAAACAAACATGCACATATTGAGGTTCTTTAGAATTAGGGGCTGGTTTTCTAACTACTTAAAATGATGTGCAATTTATTCATTTTAATCAGTCACAGGGGAGAAAAAGTGCTGTCTTTGGATGTTGTCATTAAAATGACTGTAGTCCACAAGCTACTAAAATATGATAGAACTTTGTAGAAAACACAATAATCTTTCAAATTTGCATCAACTAAGTGAGACTATTGCATCCATAAATTTATGTACAGTCAGAAATTGGACACCAATACCACACCGAAACAACTGCAACTTCTGTTTATCATGCATTACCATTGAAGTGACTTTTGGCCCGCAGGTAGCTCACACTTAGCCTCAGTATGGTGAGCTTGTCCAGCTTGGATATAACTTCCTGCGGGAAAGGAAGCTGGCTGGCCAACCTGTCCAACTCTCCATTCAGCCGGTCTCGATGTCGTTTGGAAGGATTTGATTTGACACATTCAGGAGGAGACTGCTGCACACTAAAAAAGGAGAATATATTCAGTTTTAATATAATTTTCAGAATATGACATGAAAGCCAACCTGTCAGTTTCAAATTTTAGAACGTTTTCCATTTCCCAGAAGTGTGTTTATATTAAGAAGAGATATTTTTATCATTCACTTATAGTGAGTACTGTCAAACAACCACCTAAAAACGACACCTACAACTGATAGGAAAGTTAGTATTGAGTCTTGGGAAGGAAATATGACCTTCAGAGGTGTAGCAACAGCTTGTAAACTCAGACCCATATCATATCAGCTAGCGAGTTCCTAATGAGTGACAGTTTTGTTAATGCTTAATTTGCAACTTTGTTACTTGATTTGGTAGGTTAGGTTTTTATTTGACATAACACAGTCAAGGATTCAGACCAGTGGTGGGCAACCTCTGACCCTCAACAACCACTTTCCTGCAGAGTTTAGCTCCAATCCTGATCAAACTCACCTGTCTGTAACTTTATAGTGATCCTGAAGAACTCAATTAACTTATTAAGGTGTATTTGATTAGGGTTGGAGCTCAAATTTGCAGGAAAGTGGATCTCAAGGGCCAGAGTTGCCCAACCCTGCTGAAAATCTGCCCAACCCTGTTCACCCCATATCGGAATTCCCGTAATTACGAGATTCCAAATTGTAAAAAGCATTCACGTCCTCATAGAACTCGTAATTACAACTTGTGAACTGGGAGTTTTCTGAGAGCTACAACTAGTGATGGGAAGTTCGGATCATTTTGCTGACTCAGATCTTTGAGTCTCATTCAGCAAAATGAACGAATCTTTTTTCGAGTCATTTCGTTCATTTTAGCAAAGTGTAATTAAAATGTTACATGTTACTTCCCTAACACATCTACTACTTACGCAAACATTGATCACACTACAAAAACTAATGCTATAAGAAACAGAAAATATTAATTCATTGTTTAACTGGATATTTAGTCTATGTTAGCTCACCTCACCTTATCTGACAAGACTTTGTGACAGCCCCATAAGCTAAACCAATGCAGTCTGAGCCGGAAAGAGAATTGATTAGTTAATTTTTTGAGTCTTTAGAGTCGTTCGTTCTTTTGTCACGTGACGTGACCGCAACCTTCCCAATCCTTACAAACGGGTGCATAGTTTTTGTTATTATTATTATTATTTACTCCTACAGTTACGTGATGCGTTTCTGGTCTCAAATTGTATTTCAAATTTATTTCTTACAGTTTATAAATGTGTGAATTTCTGTCATGATGGTTCTTTTCCTGTGGTAATAAAGGTAATAAAAAGTTGGTCATGCTTTAAATTTTGTCCATATGATGGTGAAATCACTTTGATACAGCAGAGATACTTGTTTTTTTGTTTTCGTTTTATTTTTTGCCTTGGTTAAGCTTATGGGTCTGCCTCGTGATGAACGAACGACTCGAAAAACCCGAAGACTCGAAAGATGAACTAATCAATTCTCTTTCCGGCTCAGACTGCATTGGTTAAGCTTATGGGGCTGTCACGTGATGAACGAACGACTCGAAAACCCGAAGACTCGAAACACAGAACCTATAGAATGTTGAGCATTCGCGACTGAACGATCGAATCACTCCCCGAGAAGACTTGTTCTTCCCGAGTCACATTAAAGATTTGTTCAAAATGAACAAATCGTTCAAGAACGACCCATCACTAGCTACGACTTGTACCAAGTGACCGCTATATCACCTGACCACCGCAGGCTCTGTTTAGGCATTGATAATGTGGACATATACTGCGTTCACGCCATATCGTAATTACCGTAATTTCGAGATGACAGCCCGTGACGTAATTTCGAGTTCTACGAGGACGTGAATGCTTTTTACAAGTTGGAATCTCGTAATTACGGGAATTCCAATATGGCGTGAACGCACCTATAGAAAAGCATAATTCCGAGTCTGAGGACGTAAACAGCTCCGAGTAGAACATCACGTGCTGTCATCTCGAAATGATGGTAATTACGACATATCGAAATTCCCGTAATTACAAGATTCCAACTTGTTAAAAGCATTCACATCCTCATAGAACTCGTAATTACAACTTGTGAACTGGGAGTTTTCTGAGAGCTACGACTTGTACCACGTGACCGCTGTACCACCTGACCACCGCAGGCTCTGTTTAGGTGTTGATAGTGTTGCCATAGAAAAGCATAATTCCGAGTCCGAGGACGTGAACAGCTCCAAGTAGAAAGTCACGTGCTGTCACCTCGAAATTACTTTAATTATAGGGGCGTTCACGCCATATCGTAATTACCGTAATTACGAGATACCAACTTGTAAAAAGTGTTCACATCCTCGTAGAACTCATAATTACAACTTGTAAACTGGGAGTTTTCTGAGAGCTACGACTTGTACCACGTGACCGCTGAACCTCATGTGGAACCAGAGAAAAATAGCGGCGCTCTAAAAAATGAGAAAATGGATACATAGATGTACTATAATATAAAAACATATTATGTAAGTGTTCATACTGTTATTATTTTGTTGTAGTTTGATTAGGTTAGCAATAACACATTTATTATCGACCGTCATTAATAATAAACAAGAAACAAACAAATGGTTAGTAATAATTTTTACCTGACACGCTTTCTGTATTGTGCAATATTAAGTTGTAGCATACAAATGTAAAGTTATGTGTTTTACAGCTGCCAGTAACTTTCAAGCGGTCGCAGGTTCATTTTGTCACAGTCCGAGGACGTGAACAGCACCGAGTTGAACGTCACGTGTTGTCATCTCGAAATTACGGTAATTATGACATGGCGTGAATTCAGCATATGATATGGCGTGAACGCAGCAATAGACTGTCGATGCATTCCAAACGGGATATATCGCCCTCCGAAGGGCACTTCGGAGTGAAAACAATCATGGCCGCCATATTGAAGGGTCGTTCCAAACCGAAGTGCTCAAAACTGGCCACTTCAAAGGGCCCTTCGGAATGAAGGATTTTGAAGGGTACAACTGATGGGACACTTCGGGCTCCCATGATCCTTTGCGCAGATTCTTTGCATGATGACGGTGCCTCCGTGTGGGCACTTCAAGGAACAGTTGTTTGGTCCCCTACACCCTTCGAAGCTCTCACTCTGGAGGGTAAACCCTTTGAAGGGATTAGGGCATAGGGATGAGCCCTTCCGAATGGAATGCAGGGTGAATTTATGGCCCATATTTTGGTAAATGCATCACAAAATAAAAGCACCGCACAAATGAATAGAAAATAAAGTTAAACACCTATCAATGACCATCTGTTGAAAATATTTTGACGTTAATACTTAATTCACAACCCTGTTACCCATTGTGGTAAAGTTTTATTTATTTATTTATTTTTATTTATTTGTTTTTGTTATAATCCATCACAAACAGGTTTGGTAAAATATGAATATAAAATAATGTTAAAAACCTATATCTTTATACGAGCTGTAATGTGTAATTTCACCCGTCCGCAAAATGGGAAGATCTGTCTTTTCCACAAATTTTAGCTCATTTGAGCGGAATTAAATTGTTATTTTTATTAGTCAATCATTCTAATATTCCGAATTAGGAAATCATTACATTGCAGCCAAAGATACATTTAGTATGTTTAGATATGTTTAGTTAGTTTGTCACGTGGCAGATGCAAATAACTTACTAATCATTCCAGTGTTGCCAATTTGGGGATTTTGTCGCCAAATTTAGCTACTTTCTCATTGTAGCTGCGACTTTTTTTTATTTTTTTGCGACAAGGAGCTATTTAGCTATATTTAAATAAAACTAGGATTTTTGGGAGATTTTAAATTTTTTATTTGGCCACAGCTTGCCGTAGGCCCGTGACCGCTCACATTTGCTCTCAATCATTCAAATATGCCAATGAGTCTGCGCAGTGAACACACCAGTACGCCACGCCTGCCATGACGCACACCACAATTTCATTATAAGCATCAATCAAGATGCTGGAGAAAAAAATGAACATCTTGTTTTAACCACGGACACAAAAGTTATATCACAATTCATGTCATGTCAACTAGATACTGAAAGAGAGACACAGGGCATCATCATGTGATGTGTGCTGGGATGCAGTATTTTGCACTTACTTTGTAGTTATAGAGTGTGTTAACTGAAATAAGTTTGTATGAATAAAGTTTTTGTTTTTGGAGAATCATAATATCTCTTATCTGCTGTATTTGAGCAGGACAGGGATGCACTTTGGTGACACATAAAACAAACTCCCAACATTGTGTCTTTTGTGTCTTTCCATCATGTTTGATGTGCTTGCAGATCACAAGCATTTCCTAATTTCACTTCAGAATTTTGTGTTATATTTAATCTTTTGTTATATTTTTTATACTGTTATCATTTGTAAAGTATATATATATTTACTTTCCTTTACCTTCACCAAATTTACCTGTATTTACTTTGTTTTCACATTTGGCGACTTTTTGTGAAAAATGGAGACTTTTGAGGGTGGTTCTAGAGATTTTCTGAGGGAGGGGTTTGCAACACTCACTCGTTCACAGAAGTCAAAACACGCTCACGCACAAACACGACTTTTCCCAAAGAGCCTGACTAGACATCGGAGAAAGTGCAGCGATATAACATCATTTCACAAATAAAATTCAATCAAATAGAATAAATATTCAGATAACTATTAATAAAAATTCACTATGCAGTGAGAGTCACTTGTCTGCTTTATATTGTTTGGTCTTAATAAACAGGCTAACTGACAGTACTGTAAACTGAATACATAGGTTTAACTAAGCATCTAAGCATGGCCTAGTAAAACAATGATTTATTACCTTTTCTGGACAGGTTTCCTCCGTTTGCGACTTGCATAATTATTACTGGTGCTCATAATTCCCACAGAAACAGATTCGTGGTTAGTCAGTGGTTTTACGCGGTGCTAGCAGGCTAACCTTAATCTGCCTTGGGTTAGAAGTTAACTTTTTGCTCAAATATAGGCTAAATTTACAAACTAACCATTACCCGGCAATGTAATTTAAATCTGAAGCATTCACCTGCGTTAGTCCACAGTTAAAGACCAGTGGTTGACATGAGAGAGGTATAAACACGTCCCTGTCATGGCTAAGCTAAACTATCAAGCTATCTGTCAAACTAATGTTAGCTACGTTTTGTCTAACTTTCTAAAGCTCAGCTGCCACTCAACCTAACGCACATTTTGCTCTCCAGAATTTTTTTGTAGTCAGCTGTCATACACTAATACTGACATCCTAACACTATAGTCCTGGTTAACTTAGTTTGACAGCGTTGCTCCAACTCAGTCTCTGTGCAGTCAATAAATGACAGACCAATGTTAGGTTATGACAGTCTGACTCTGATCAGAGCCCCTCCCTCACCCACTAACCACCTGCTAACCACCTAAAATTCCTTTTCTGTCCTGAATGCAGTGAACTACTTTGTCTAAATTGCCCAAAACATACAAAACGTATCACTGTAAAGGACAACATATGACTAAACTGTGATAAATGTAATGGTGTAAAATCATGAAGCCTTTAAAATCATAATTCAACATCTCCTTAGTAGTGACTAATTATCAGCGTTAACAGTTTTATTAACAAAAACGAAATGTTTAAGCAAAATTAAATGTCAGTTACAACTAAGTGTAAGTTACAACATGCGGCGATGAGTCTATTGTAGGCTACTTCTTCGACCACTTTGAAAGACTTTTCTGATGAAGAAAGTTAAGCTGAAACTGGATTGATTATAATAAATCATAATTAGCTACATGGGTGTTAACAATACTAATTTGTATTAAAATAGTGTACAATAATTTCATATTTAAACAATAAATGTTTACAAATAGCACATTTTGTCTAGGTTATTATTGCTTATAACATTGCCATTGTTTTTTTACTGCTATGATACTATTAATTATGCATAGTTTGTGAAATGTTATTTGCGGTACATTACACGGGCAATAAAGGTTTCAAGTCATTTATTGTGTTGGTCTACCCTTAGAAAAGCTCTTTATCTCCTAAACTGCAGAATTTAATTATGTTGTAATTTCCATTAAATAAGGAGTCTATATCTGCCACTTCTCTTCTAAGTGAAAATATCTGCAAATATCTAACCATCTCAATTTGGCAAGTCTGACTCTTTTCATTTCCGTTAAAGGCACTTCAGTTAATAAATCCTGTTAAGATTAAAATTGGATTTTGAAGCGGGTGCAACCAAATGTGTCGGGACACGTTAAAAAGGGGCCTTCTAAAGACACGTCATCACATGCTAATCTCTACATCACTTTTCTGTCTGTTTTAGTCAGTTTTATATCATTGACAAGAGAAAAATGAAAGTCATAAAGTAATTAATAAAGAATGTGTGCACATATGCAGAAGAGATATGGTTCTCTTATTTGATATGCCTACAACTCAATGATTGCTGTTGGCTTTACAGATACAGATATGATGCAAAACAACATAGGAATAATTTTACCAGAGAGACCAAAGTCAGAGGCAAACATATAGGCCGCATTTAAGATGTAGTTAATGATGTTTTTATTTCTTAGTAACATCACAGGGAAAGGAATGGTTTCACCGATTACTTATTTTTGGACAATTGGTTAAATGTCACTGCATCACATATTTGAGCATCCTTGCTTTAACAACAGTGGCTAAAATGCATTAATTACAGCTCAGCCATATTCTTTACATTCTTCACCATTTTGAATGAAGACAGAAATGTCCAAGTAATGAGGCTTTCATAAGGGTTGTCATCTATACTGCTTAGTTCAGTGAATCTCGTAAATGTGAATGCCTATTTCTAATGAAAGCTGCAAAGGATGCCAAAAAAAAAACTATTCAAATGTGTAAAGTTTTGACTTCAAATACATTATTTACAGAAAAGTGTACAACCCTTTAAATGATTAAATGGTTGAACTGGTAAGATGTTTTTCTTGACGGCACATAATCTCAATTCAACACATTTAATAAATCGCTACCCTCTTATTAATTTTGTCATTTCGTAAGATGTAATCAGTAGAAACAGATTCTGAGGTTAAATAATCTTCTGGAAAAAATGAATAATTATCTGTGATGTTGTATTATGCTGAATATCAAAGGTTTTTGTGCATATTTGTTAATGAGGGAATGAGGGGCCTTTTTTTAGATTTAGAACATTTTATTTTATTTTGAAGAGAAAAGATAAAATATTAGACTCTTAAAATAGCCCTAAGTGGCATGTTGTTACTGGTGTTATTATTTTTAAATATAATGCTTCATTGGGTTATTCAGTAATGCCACGTTATATGTGCGTTTCAGATATTTTACAACAATTTACCAATTTACTATATGTATATTATATGTAGCCTACCCAGATAGCACATGTACGTCTGCAAGATGTCTGTTAAAGATCTCTTGATCTGGAAAGCATCTGCTTTGGACAAACATCTGACAGACGTCTTTCAGATGTCAGTTTTATACATTCTAAATCATAAACATCTTAAAGACATCTAATAGACCTCTATTTGACATCTAAAAGGAAACGTCCTATAGACGTATTGCAGATGAGCAAACTCTCTAAAAAATACATCTTGCAGATGGAAATGCAGACGTCAAATAGATGTCTCCGAGATGTATGTGTGCTATCAGGGTATATAATGTATATTATACATTATTCTGCACATTCTGAACTTACGAAGTTATATTTAAAAGTAAATACACACACTGTTCTCGACTCTTAAAATAGCCCTAAGTGGCATGTTGTTACAGTGTTATTATTTTTAAATATAATGCTTCATTGGGTTATTCAGTAATGCCATGTTATATGTGCGTTTCAGATCTTTTACAACAATTTACCAATTTACTATATGTATATTATATGTAGCCTATATAATGTATATTATACATTATTCTGCACATTCTGAAGTTATGAAGTTATATTTAAAAGTAAATACACACACTGTTCTTTAGGGAGGTATCTAACCCCATCTTTCGTGCATGTAACACGACTGAATCCAGTTCATTCGCTTGCTGGGTTCAGCCTCGTTGTAACCGCAGAAGTTGCGATAATGATTAGCCTACATTCCAACAGCAGAACTGCGGTGGATTAGTATGCTGTTATTTTCTAGAGAGCAAGCAGCGAATTTTTTAACTAAAATTTGTTTTATTTAATAGGCCTACTTATTTAAATGGTTTAAACCAGTGGTTCCCAACCCTGGTCCTGGAGGCACCCCAACACTGCACATTTTGCATATCTCCTTTCTCTGACACCAATTTCAGGTCTTGGAGTCTCTACTAATGAGCTGATAATCTGAATCAGGTGTTTGATTAAGGAGACATGCAAATATAATGTATATTATACATTATTCTGCACATTCTGAACTTACGAAGTTATATTTAAAAGTAAATACACACACTGTTCTTTAGGGAGGTATCTAACCCCATCTTTCGTGCATGTAACACGTTTAATTAACGAGACTGAATCCAGTTCATTCGCTTGCTGGGTTCAGCCTCGTTGTAACCGCAGAAGTTGCGATAATGATTAGCCTACATTCCAACAGCAGAACTGCGGTGGATTAGTATGCTGTTATTTTCTAGAGAGCAAGCAGCGAATTTTTTAACTAAAATTAGTTTTATTTAATAGGCCTACTTATTTAAATGGTTTAAACCAGTGGTTCCCAACCCTGGTCCTGGAGGCACCCCAACACTGCACATTTTGCATGTCTCCTTTCTCTGACACCAATTTCAGGTCTTGGAGTCTCTACTAATGAGCTGATAATCTGAATCAGGTGTTTGATTAAGGAGACATGCAAAACATGCAGTGTTGGGGTGCCTCCAGGACCAGGGTTGGGAACCACTGGTTTAAACCAATACATGTTTATATAAATCGCGGGTAGCTTACGTCATACCGGGTATTTATTTACTTAGACAGGAGAACATCTAGCCTACTGTGAAGTATTTTCAAAGTCTTAAATACACCTTTAGCGTCATCTGCTGCACCACAATGAAATTGACTCTTTGTGCTTCGATTATTCAACGCTCATCTTAAATTTAAAGCAACTCAAAGCCTCGTCAATCCAAATGAATGAGTATTCTCCCTATTTGTCTTTTTCTTTATTAGGCTATATTATATATATTTAAAAAAAACTAAAGTTGTCAAGTCGCTATAATTTTGAGACAAGAAAACAGAACCTACCTATTATTTCTTATCTAATACAACTTTCTAACACAGCCTTCATTTACAACTATCAGCTGATGAGCTGTTCCTTTTAAGGAACAATTAATACAAGGAACCGGTTTCATTGTTTTCTGTACAGACCTATGAAAACATTTCTACGGTGGCCGAGAAGTGCTAAACAAATCACAATTCTGAAAACAAAAGAACAAATTACAAACGCAAATGCAAGTCTAAAAAACAAAATAACAATTCAGGAAGCACAACAACAATTCAGAAAACATTATAACAAGTCAGAAAACACAATGACAAATTCGAAAACAAAAGAACAAGTCAGAAAACACAAGAACAAATCAGACAAACCGGTAGGTATAGTTTGAGACAGTGACATTGGTTTGGGATTACTCACCGCTGACTGGACGAGACATCTGTCAATCAACTTATACAGGGAAGAACCAGCCGAAGAACAGCAGAGTCGTGGTAGAAAGTTCGGAGATGGTATTAAAGTAGCTCAGTTTAAATGTATTGTATGAATTGCCCTTACTATGGAATGAAAAATACGGGTTGTTTATTTACATTTAGTTAAATGTGCTTATAAGATATCAGCTCTAGTGGCGCAGATGGACAAGTGCATGTCATTGGCTTTTTGACGCGATCGACCCGGGTTCGATCCCACCTTTTGCCTAACTTTTTTTTCTCCCTTTTCAAATCTCGTATCACATCGTAAAGGCATTTATTTTCATTAAAATTAAGGAAATAATCAAAAAAGGATCGAACCCGGGTCGATCGCATCAAAAAGCCAATGACACGCGCTTATCCATCTGCGCCACTGGAGCTGATCATTTATAATCACGTTTAACTAAATGCAAATAGACAACCCGTATTTTTCATTCCATAGTAAGGGCAATTCATACAATACATATAAACTGAGCTACTTTAATACCATCTCCGAACTTTCTACCACGACTCTGCTGTTCTTCGGCTGGTTCTTGCCTGTATAAGTTGATTGACAGATGTCTCGTCCAGTCACCGGTGAGTAATCCCAAACCAATGGCGCTGTCTCAAACTATACCTACCTCTTCCAGTTTGTCTGATTTGTCCTTGTGTTTTCTGACTTGTTATTTTGTTTTCGAATTTGTCATTGTGTTTT